TCACTTTTGTAGCTTTAACACAGATTTGTTAGATTTAATTTATAATGAAAACTATGCAGTGTTATTTTACATTTGATTATTAAATTTCTGTACCTGAATACTGTTAGACTTACCTGAAAAATATAAAGCACTGCTTATTTCATTTGTATCTTTGTTCTGTTATTTATCTATGCTTGTAAGTTGTTTATTTCCTATGCTGATTTACTTGCCCACAAAATCACCCCAATCATTATATTTTTTCCAAATATAGAGCTATTGAAGTCATCTGATTTTTTTTCCATATCGCAATATATATTGCAGAAAAAAAAATATCGCAATGTGAATTTTTTCCAATATCGTGCAGCCCTACATAGAATCAAAACAAATCACAAAATGTACATGCGGCTTTGTGGATCTCTTGTACACACCGCATTTTTGAATTTTAAACAAATGTGCCAAGTTCTTAGAAATGTAATCTTTGTATTCATGTTGGTTTAAAATTTTGAAAAGCTTCCATTTTCAACAAGAGTTTCAATTTAAAGACCCAAAAATGTTCTGTGTTGTATCTATAAAGTAAAAAGTAATAACATTTTCCAAAAAAAAAAAAGAATTTTTTTTCCCTCTGCTTTTGTTTTGTTTATTTTTTTCATACATGTTTTTTCCCCATATTTACCATATAATTTTGATTTAGTGGACAGCAGCTTTTCAAATATTAAGTACTTAAATATATTAATATTTAAGTAGAGAAAAAGTTGTTAAAAAAATCTAAGAAAAAAAAGGATTGCCAGAAATGTCAAAAAAAATTTAACAAGAATTTATTTCTTGTAATAAGACATTTTTCTTTATTAAGATATCACAGTTGTATCCTGCTGATATTATTTTACTTCAAAAAATAACAAAATTAATTTAAAATAGGCTAAATTAAAAACTTGAACATCATAAAAGATATGTATTTAAATAATTCTATGTATGAACTGGATTTTTTTTAATCTTTTTTTTTCCACAGGACAAAAAAAAAAGAAAGAAGTGATTTACGCCATAGATTTACACACCAAATGTGGTCCAGTTCCTTCAATTCTGCTCTAATTGTAGAGCTTCAAACCTCTGCACCAGTGAGACTATAGAAAATCAGTTTTTTAGGCAAATTATACACCTCTGCAGACGATGTTGTCCGACTTCAAACATGCCTCGTCCTTTCATCACAGCCACAGGACTGTCATAAAGAGAAGCAAGCTTAGAAGCCTAGGTATGCACTACACACTCTTGATGCAACACATCGCCCTTCGTTCTATCATCAATGTGACTGCATGACTTCATACCTCCTGAATACTTTAACACAGAGAATGGAATATAAAGCAGGCACACCCCACGTTACATATGAAATATATAACAGAGAGCCTACACAGAAGTAATGCGAGAGAATCAAGCATGTTTCTATGTTCTACATTAATCTTTCTGCATATTTTTGCATGCAGCTGAATAAAAATGACGTTGGAGTACAGTTATTTTGAACGGCATGTGGCACCGCTGGGTGACCCAGTAGCCTGACTGATTGCAGAAAAATTCTCCAGTGTAAGTTTTCCCACTGCATGCCATGAAATGAAAGCAGAGCCGCTTGCACTAGTTACAAACACTGAGATTTTGCCGAATGTGTCTTCAAAACATACAGATGTTCTCCCAAACTTTAGGAAAAAAGCCTCACGTCATGCATAATTCAACAGCACCAGTAATAATACACTAAAGACATTTTATACAGATTCAAAGATGTGGAAATCGGTTTCTTATCTGAATTCGCAAACTGTAATATCCTTAAAATAACACACTTGGAGCTCATGCTCACAAATTTAGAGCACTGGAAAAAAAAGAGCTGTATATCTATTTCAAAGTGAACATTATCTAGAGCATTCTGGACCTGTCTTTGCTTCTTCCTTTTTTAATTCATGGCCAAGAAGGACACAGGAATCTGATAATTGCAGGTCAGACCGTGAAAGCTGCTTTAATACAATTATGTTTCAAGGGCCCTGGTTTGAAGAGAATGTAGCATGCAAGGAACCACCTGTCTTCTCAGCAAGCCAAAAGAGCCCACACTGATTTAGTGTGCTTTGTGAGTGCTTTGGACTACAAATATACTATAAGTAATTCTCGCATTTACCATAAACCAAACCAGAATGTTTTATATAGCAAAAACCATGAAGAGACCTATTGTAAATGTGTGAGGTTTTAATTAGGAATGCACAAATTTTAACATTTTATCAATACGATAAGTCAATACTATTGGTTGATAACCAATAAATGGTCAATATTAAATCCTACACCATGTTAATAAATAAAATAGCAATAAGAGAACTTAATGTAGGCATCACAACATTATAATAAACAGT